ATATATATATATATATATATTGTATGTATAAATAATGTATAATACATTTTTGTAATTTTTTTTAATTTAAATATTGATTAATTAATTTGAGTAATTTAATTGCAAGAATATTATGTTCGATATTAATATTTATTTAAATTGAAAAAATATTTTTCCTATTTATATAAGTATAATTATACATAATATCATTATATATATGTAACATTGTTTGGGCATTGCGATGCTTTGCTTCCTATATTATATTTTAAAATTTTATTCAAAAAAATAATATTATCATGAATAATAATTTTAAATTGTAATTGTTAAAAAAATTTATTTTGATTTTTCATTTTTTAATGAAAATTTCATGTAAAAAAATTGTATAAATATATATTATATTTAAAAATTATATGTTTGTTTAAAATAATATAAAATAATATTTTTGTTTTATTCAAAAAAATAATATGCACGTTTTCGTGAAAATATGTTGATGACATTTATGTAATTTATTTACACAAATTATATTTATTGGAATTAAATTTATAAAATTTATTATTAATTGTTAATTATTAATTTTCATCAATTTATTCTAATGCTATATCGAATAAAGAATTTAACATAGAACTTTATTTTTAAATTTATTATTGTTAAAAAATTTAATAAAATGTTTTAAATAAAAACTACGTTTATCTAATATATTTTTATTTCTATTCATAATATATGCTATCATATTTGGTAGAAGAAACTTGGGACTAAAATATAAAAATAATTAATTTTGTTTGTATCTGATCGAAAGAAAAGAACAATTCTATTGAAAACGTCTGTAGTATGAAATACGTGAGCCTCGGCTTGCGGTACTTTAATATCCGTAAGAACCCATTATAGTATTTGAATGTGTCAGCTTCCGTTTAGTATGATCACTTACTTTCTTCAAATATCATGTACATCGAGAATATTATCAAAAGTTTTTCAAATCTTTTTCTGAAATTTTATTATTATTTTTCAATCATTATACAAAATAAATTATAAATTATTTATAATATATTATATTATATATAATTATTATATTATAAATTATAAAATTATGTAATAAATTTTAATATAATATATATATATCTCAATGAAAAAATTGGAAATAAATTATAAATTATAAATTATAAAATATGTAATAAATTTTAATATAATATATATATATCTCAATGAAAAAATTGGAAATATTTATTAAAATATTATCAAATATTAATTAATATTAATTAATATTAATTAATAAAATATTAATTAATTTTGTTGAAATGAAATATTTGAATATTTATTTTGTATCATAGTAATAAATATTTTTATAAAAAGTATTTATTTATTAATTTATTTATATATTAATATATATATATTAATATATATATATATATATTTTTTTTAAATTAAAAACTTATATTATTTCAAATATTAATTTTATGATTATTATTTAGTAAGGAAAATAAATACAGAAAAATTACAGAAGAAAAAAACATAAATATATTTATTTGAGTAATAAATTGCTTATATTTTTTAATTAATAAATGAGTTTAAACGAATATTAATCTATCATTTATTTTATGATACATAATATAAATTTTAAAACATAATTTTTTGATTTGATGGATAAAATTTCATGAAAATAATATTCATTCTATGTAAAATGAAAAAAATATTCATTCAAATTAATAATTATTTCAAAATTAAAAAATATATAAGAGAATTTTTTTTATAAAATCAAATAAATATTTTAAAAAGTATTTTATTATTTTAAAAATAATTATTTTATATTAATTACAATACAGGTCAATGAAATATTTTTATGCAAATATGTTATTCTTATTTCAAATATTATTAATTACCTGCATAGCACATATATTAATAAATAACTTAGATATTGCTTAGAATTTTATTAACTATTTACATTCGTTGAATCTTACTTGTTAGCAGTATGAAATATCGACAATAACCACAGCTGCTTCAACGAGCCTTCGAAATATTTGATGAAGGTCGCCTTGTTTGATATGTTTCGGAATAAAAGTTTCAACAAAACCATTGCTAGATGCTTAGACTCGATTTCACAAGCATTATGCAATAGATACACATAAAAATAACTTTACATTGCATGGAAATAATCTTTCCTTTAAAAGGATTACAAAGCAAAAGTGAATTCCTTCATGATAAACGAAATGATCATTTCTAAATTACAGAAATATGTATGATGCAATTTTTAGAGCATTTTGATAATTTTTAAATTTTATCACGAAATCTACTGTCTGGAATAATGTTTGGCAAAAAAAATGTTTCGTAAAATGACAATAAACATATGGTGATGTTCAAGTTTAAACAAACAAAAAATATAGAAATGAAAATATAAAAAAAAAAGAATAAAAATTTCCAATCATTTTGAAATCATTGGAAAGTTATTTTTATTTAAGTATTAATTCGTTTTTATTTCATTTTTGGAACAAATTGAAATTGCGAATAAAAATATTGCAAAAGAATGCATCAAAAAAGGATAAAAATTAAGTATAGATAATGAGTATAGAAAAAACTTTTCATGATATGAGTAAAAATAATTTATTAAAATAAGTATATCGTTATCAATAATAGATTTTATCTCATAATAGCAATTTAGCATAATGCAATAAAATTTGATTAAGAATTTTATTTAAAAAAAAACAATTTAATATATATTAAATAATATAATTATATTATAATAAAATTATATTATATAATATAATATATATTAATACTATTTATTAATAATACAATAAACTTATATTAATAAGTTTATTAAAAACTTATAATTAGAAACTTATATTACAGAAAGATTGTTGATTAGAATTTTAATTTGTATTAAGATTTTAAATGTTGCATTCTTTATGATGAAAAATTATATAATAATATCATAAATTCAGACAATTTAAAAAATATTACAATTTTTATAAAATACTTTTGTGACATTATGTATTATCATTAGAAAATCCAATATTTATAAAATTCAACTGTTTTTGTTTCAAATTTTTAACATAATAACAAATAAATAACATAATAAGATAATAACAAAAATATATTTAGAATATTTTTTTGTTAATTTTTATCGAATTATTTGTTTAATTTTGTGCTTAATAAATTTTTATATTATTTATTGATATTAATTTTTAACAAGTAACAAATTAAATTAATAAAAAAAAAATTTATGTTGCAAAATTTAATTTAAAATTTTAACTTTGATCAAATTTTTAATGAATTTTATTAATAATTCTATATATAATTACATATTTTTATTAACAATTATTAATATATAATTGTATAATATATAATATATATAATTAATACATATTAATTAATTATAATATTAATTATATGTTATATATATTATATTTATTTATTTTCATTTTCTTTTCTACTTTTTAAATATAAGTTTAAAAAACTATTAAAAAAGAATTAAATATATAAAATAAAGTAATTATTATATATTATAATTTTCTATTATATAATTTTATATATATATATGAATTTATTTTATATATAATAATAGAATTATAATGTTTTAAATATAAATACTACATATAAGCAAAAGTTAATTATTTAATATTTATTTCTGAACAATAAATTAATTTTTTAATGTTATAAAAATGTCAATTAGCAAAAATACTATTTTTCTATAAAATTTCTAATAATAAAGTAATTAATTTATGAAATAATTTCATTTGATTATTTCAAATGATTATTTCTATGAATATTAAAAATATAAAAAATATATAAATAATTCCTTAAAAATAATTATTAACAAAAATCTTTCACTTTTATTTCCTTCCTATTTATAATACAATATTTAAATACAATTTGATTATTAATAATAATATAATATAAATAATTATAATAATATAGAGTCTAGAGTATAATAATTATACGTACATTTATAAAAAAAATAAGGAATTATAATTAATGATTTATTATTTATTGAATTTAGATTAACGATATGCATTTAATGTTCTAACAATAATTAAATTCTTAACGTTATTTTAAGTAAGCAAACTTGTAAAGCTTTTACACCATTTTTGAATTTAAATTCATGCTATTTCGATTGATTAGAGTAACCTATAGATGTCGTTAGTATAGACTTGAACATCAAAATTTTTACGAGTTTCTCTCCTGTACATGACACTACTGTGGTAACGGACCGTCATCTTTACCGCTCAGAGATGATTCTCTACCTACACAGATTGTGGAATAGCCATTAAAATGTTATCGGAATAGCGCGCGTTGCGAACTAGCTTACGAGTCGACCAATCGAGAACCGTTTGTGAGTCGGTGGGTACGTTTCCACGGAATGTGAGCAACCGTTGAACGAAGTGACGATACTACATATACACATGTACATTTCGTCGCCGTCGTCGTCGCGATAGTCGTCATCGTCGACGTCGGCGTTGATTGTGTGCCGATCTCGATTGTAACGAACTGAAAGCAAGCTGATTTGCCGATAGAAATAAAGCATACATACAAAAAATAAAGTAAAAAATAAATTTCTCTCGTAACCGAACCTTATTTGAGAACGAAACTTCGTTAGGTAGTGACATCGTTATCTTTTATTCTGGTATTTATAGATTCGAAATCGATGTATTCAACATAATTTTCTGAACGTGAAAGAAACAGGTCTTGAGATAGGTAACGAAAAAGAAATATTTCTTCGTTGCTGCACGCGCGGGCTTTTTTCCGGGTGTACAATTTATATGCGTGTGAATGCGCCATAGATATACTTGTATATTGTATGTAGGAGGAAGAGAGAACGAGGTAGAAAATCAGTTACAAACGAGAGTGATAGGACTAGTTCAGAGGAAACGAGAAAGCTTCGATAGTGAAACGGAGTGAGAACGAGAGCGTTAAGCAGGGTGAGTGAGGAGAAGGAAGGGATCTCCGTCAAAATGTCGCTGAAAACACCAACGCGGATACAGTGATTGCTTTTCGTCATTTAACAGGGGGTATGTGATCTTTTTCGACTTTCTTCAATTCTTTTTTTTGATGTTTTTACTGTGACTCTTTTCATTATTTTACGTCCAGAAATGTATACAGTTTCTTCGATTCTTTCATTGAAAGACAAGAAAGTCATAGGTGCATCGATTGCGCACGGTCACCCGGTTTCCCTCTGTTTGTTTCCATCGGGCTTTGTACAACTTTGTCGTGACTGTGTGCATAATACGCAACGGCCATCTCGTTACAGTAGTGGGCAAAGATATCTCATATTTATGCCTATCTACTTATATTCCTTGTATTTTTCATTTCTTGGTCACTATACATAATCGACCAAGACATTCGGCGATCGTACTAATAACGCCGATGCACCAGGTATTCGTCGTTACTAAATTAGTCGTTAATCGTCGTTCAGGCATTTTTTTAAAATTTGTTGATTTAATTTCTCTCAGAGAAGTTTCCAATCTGAAATGTCGAAAATTTTAGCTCCCGTTTTGCTCCAACTTTTTTGCTGATTTTTTGCTTGCAACACTGCTAACATTCGTTGTTTTTCGTCCTTTGAGAATCGATGAAACATAACTGAGACATTGAACATCCTCGTAGGTTACATTACGAATCTTTCTGTTGCTATTCTATCGATATTTCATCATGATGAAATCTTGCAGGTTTCTTTTATACAATTTTTCTTAATGAATTAATTTCTTGTTTTTTCGAATATATATTTTATATTTTGAAGAAATATGAAATTGTGCTAAGTGAAAAATTTTATTATATTATTGAAATAAAATTCTTTTTTTTTTTTATCACATTTTCTTTAATATAATTCCAACCAATAATTTTTGAAGAAATTTAAGAAATTTAAGAAATATATAAGAATAAGTTCTAATTTTTCTTTAATAATTTTCCAGTAATAACTATATGCAATAGTTATTACTAGTTAATAATCTGAAATGCTTGAAGAATTTATATGTATATAATACAATTTATTTTAAATAAAATTAAATAATGAAATTGATCTTAAGTAATAAATAATTTTTCTAATTTTATGATTTGTTTTAAATTTGATCTTATAGATGCAGTTTAATTTTTTAATAAACTTGTATAGTTTACAATATTATTAATTATATATTATGTATTATAAACTATTTTCAAATTTATTTAAATTTAAATAAATTTTTTTATCTTTCATAATTATATATTTATTTACTCTATTACTTATTAATTATATAATATTTACAATATTATTTCTTTATACAGGGTATTATAGTTATCACATTTTTTATTTATAATGGATTGTGTTTTTAGGTTTTGGTAAAGTTAATTATTTAATAGTACCAAAATTATGGTGTCAACTCGCCAATCAAGTAGTATGAGTGGAAGCAATGGTGGTGGGCCAGCTGCCGATGTTACAGATGTGAATTCATCTAGAAGACATCAATCTGTAGCAATGACTAGCTCTTACAATGGAGCATCTGTTTCGGAGCCACCACCTTATAGTAATTTAAATCTTCTTGACTTACCAGTTGAAATTCTTGAAAAAATTTTCAGCTATTTGGATTATAATACAGTGGCCCATTTACGTCCAGTAAGTTAAAATTATAGAAATGAAATATTCATATTTTTATTTTAATATATATATATTTATAAATATATATATTTCTGTTTGTTTATTTTCTTTGCAGGTTTGTCATCAGATGGATCGTGTTTGTGGATCAATTTTGAATTCTACATTTCAAAAACTTCAAGCACAAATGTTGAGTCGTTTTCAGGCAATTAAAGCACAAATGCCAAGACGTGAATCTGCACGTCGTAACCATCCATTAGCTTGTGAATCAGATATCATTGAAACTCTTCATATGCGTCTTACTTTACTTCAGATGAGTTTTGGCAAACATATTGAACGTAAACATTGTTGTTTTTTTCCTGGAGAGGTAAGTATTTTTTGTGATTCTTTATAAAGTTAAAAATATATAATATACAAATATATATGAATTATAATTTCTAATTATATTTCAGATTTTAGATGAAGTTTATCGTATTTTACATTACATAAAAGTTACTCCAAAATTAGCTAGACCATACAAAGTTACAGATGAATTATTTGATTTAAGTACTATGGCTATGGAATACTTTAAAGAACGCATTGAACCAACATTACCAGAAATCCCTTATTTTGGAGCTGATTTTCTAGATCTTGCTGGGACATTTTCCTGTGAGCAAAAAATTAAAGTTTTAATTATTTTTAAAAATATTAATTTATTATTTTATAATATAATATAATATAATATAATATAATATAATATAATATAATATAATATAATATAATTTTTGAGTATGATTTATTAAAATATTATAGCTTCTAGTAATGTGAGCAAGCCATTTATGTGCCTGGATTCTACACCTTTAACTGGAACTGGTAAATCAGGAAATAATAGTGGAGAAGAAGGAACTCCTCCACACTCTTCAGATGATCCTGGTCTTTTAGAATCTAATGTATCACCTCCACAGTCAAATATGGTGTTACGAAAACGAATTCGTAAAATTAAACAAGGCATGAAGCGATATAATAGTCAGTTAACATTAATGCGTAGAGATTTGAGGAGTTGCAAAGCAAAGATAGCAGAACAACAAAAGCAGATTATTGAATATGCTACACGTCTTGATGAAAATGACAAGAAGAATGAAGAGACTTCTCGTAAATTTAGCACACTTCTACAGGTATTTACTAAGGTACACTTAGTACTTGTAAAAGTAATGTACAATAGAAAAGATATAAATAAGATATATCAAATATTGTAGAAATATAAATTTAATATGTAAAAATTTCAAAATTAAAATAAATTCAAGATTAGAAAGATTAAATTTTTAACAATTTTATATATTTTTTATATTATACTTTTTTATGTTATGATTATATATTGTATAGGAATTGAACAAGTGTAAAACAGAGCTTCAGTATTGGCGATCTAAATCTCCAGCAATACCAGTGTGTGTAGTCTGTGGTCAATCTGTATTAGTACCAACAGAGGATCTGCAAGCTTTAACGAATCAAGGCGTATTACCGGAAACGCTTGATGAAGGATTAGATTTCATTCCTATAGCGGATGCACAAAGTCTTACTGAAGTGGCACCTCAATCCACAGTTACACAACAACCTTCATCGCCATCACCACCACCGCCACCACAACCACCAGCACCAACAGTGGAAATGGCACCTCCAAAGGCACCTATGCCTTCATTACTTTCAAAACGGAAATCTACTACGGAAGAAGCACCGAGCGACGCTGGAAAGAAACCTCGTCGTGCTGCTAAGTCACGTCAGGTTAAACGCTCGAAGATATAATTCGATTCTGATCATGGTACAAAAATATCTGTGTAACATCTTTACTAGGTTCTTGAAAGAAGGTTTTCTATTTGAAATAACTGTTTCTTTACGCCAGCGAACGAATGATCTTAGAAAAGTACAAAATTCTTTCCTGAACGTCCTGCATTTCGCGCAACGAACCTCATTTTGAAAAATTCTAGCCATGGTGACCGCGCGAAGGGAATTGACGCGATTGATTTTCCTATTTTATTACGGACGGATTTGTCACACACGGTGGCGTCTACAAATATTCTAAATGATAGCTGATCATTCGTGTCGTTCGTAAAGCAACAAAAGAGCTACTTTTTTCAAACCTTTTTTAATTATTATTTCCATAATGATATACAAGGAGAACGGAAGGATTGAATTTTGTATAAAATGTTTATTTTACAACAATATCGTGTTAATAGAACAAATAAACATCATACAGTGATGTTTGACTAACGAAGCAATAATTCACCTTCTGTATTCCTTGTCACAATAGATGCACTTATTCATTATTTACTTGCTAACGTGTGTAACATTTTTTTGCCGTAATATTTTGCCCTAAACATTTTATTTTTAATAGCTTAATTTAATATCTATTAGACAATATGCAAGAACAAATACAGAAATGCAAAATTTAATCGAATGAAAAAATATTTTCTCTATTCAAATTGCGAAAATTCTTGTTTCATATTTTATATTCTATTGTTTATTATAGCTTTGAATTAGATAAAAATTATTAAATTTGATGAATTAGGCAAGAATTTCTTGCTTTGTAGAGATTTTTATATAAAATTTCGAGTGGACATTAGACATGGTTGTAGCAAATTTTATTTTGCAGTATCAATGAATAAGTACCTGAGAGGACTGAGTGGGATTAGTTCGCGCAGGTACTCCAAGTTCATCAATATTCATATCAATTTCTTAATTTATCTAAGTCTGCTCAATTAAAGAAAGAAAAAACAAAACAAAAAAAAAAAGAAAAAGAAGATAACAATTTTTCTGTAAAAACGGTTTGTGCATACCATTCATGTTATGTTATACAAAATGAATAGTGAAAGTCAAAGGCTTGAAAAATTGAATTGCTTTTGCATAATGATATGTGATATATTGATTATTTTTTTCAGATTATTAATAAATGAATTTGTAATTAAAGAAATTAAATAATTTAATAGAGCAGCTCACCTATATGAAATCAAAACAGTTATATTAATATAAAGTTTGTGAGCCTTAAAAAATAGGAAGTTGGGGAGGAAATGAAAATATGCTGAAATATCTTAATGGAAGTTATTTTTTTTTGACACGCCATCCTTCGAATGATTTTCTTCATGAGATGGTGTATATTGCAATATTAATAGCGGTAGGAAATAATTTATAGGATCAATTATTTATAGGAAAATTATTATTAGATTGTTTTTAAATATTTTCGAAATATTAATTTTTTAATTTATCAATCATATTGATTAAAAAAAGAAATTACAAATTCCGCGCCACATTCTTACAAAAAATAGTAAAAAATATATGTAAAAAAAATTAATGATTATTTAATCATAATTTAATCATAATATACAATCAATACAAATTTCGTGTTCACGCAATTCTTTTAAGATCGGACGGATTACCCTGCGCGATGCTTGATGATCGGTCTGCGTAGATTCAATTAATTAACATTATTTGCACCAACTCTAATTAATCTCAAAGAAATGTAGTTTGAAATATTGTGAGTTAATTATCATTCATGATTCTAGTAATAAATGTAAAGGATACGGAGAAAGAGTGAGAGAGAGCGAAAGATAATAAGTAAATAATACTTTATTATTAAATATATATATATTATATATATGAGTGCGGTACTTGCCACGATATGCATACCACACAGAGCAGTTTAGTTTAAACTTTAATGGAACAATAAGATATAATAATTAATTAATGATGAAATAATTATCGAAATATATCTAATTTTTTATCGATGTCAAAAATTAATTAGGAGAAAAAAGAAAAAAATGAACTTAGCGAGCGGACGGAAATAAGTACGTCATGAGCACGCATGTATGTGAGAAATTGAGCGAGAGTAATAAAGTGCGTGCGTGATATATATATATATATATTAAAAATACTAAATTCAAACTTAATGAGAATTTATGATGTGATGCTTTATCGATTTAACTGCGGGAAAGTGACCTTTATTCAAGTAAAATACATGTGGGGCGTTTCTGGCTACAAAACAAATGATTAAAAATGAGAAATGAAATAAAAATAAAAAAAATATGTGAATTTTACTTAATGTTATGTTCAATAGGATTGCGGGGGCGGGCGTAATTTAACGCCATGTCGGAAATTTCGAAATGCTTGCATTGTATGCTTATATCGCGAATAGTTCTGACGGATTAAACAATAAGAAACGAAAAAAATAAAAAAAAAACAAAAAAAAAATAATAAAAAAAACAATGAACGAATGAAAATATGGAAAAAACTGTGTAACAAGATTCAATTTTACATAAATATATTTAGGCCCCTGAATGTAACAGCATCCTGTATACAGTCTTCAGAAAATTGTATTTATGAATCAATAACTAAATGTATTCCCACTGAAATATTTACACTTCCGACGATACACATTGCCAGTTTATTGTCTTAAAATAGTTTACAGTCATCGGCTTTCCGACATTATCCGTCCCCGAAAAATACAAATGTAGCATGTGTACTACATATATGAATCTACTAAGAATATACAATCGAAAATATAACAATGAATACACAATTAGAAGTAGAATAATTTCCTAATTAGTAGTACTGTGCATTTTAACAATGTGAGCACAGGAATGATAATTTTCAATTTTCATTCATGATGATTATAAATCCGAGGACCATGTTCGTTTGCAGTATCTGTGTATTAGCAAGTAAAATGGTCTCCGGATCAGGTACACAATAAGCAATTATGAAGGAGATACCATACGTGTACTTTGAAATTTATATATAGGAGAAAAAAGTGCATAGGAATACAATTGCCAGCGTTACGGCCCGAAACGTCGTACCGCCGAATAAAATATGAATTATCTTAAATGGTTTTACGTGTATTAAAGCGATTGTAAATATATATATTAGATACACCTTATAATAAACGTAATTTAACATAAAAAATACTTTTGAATGTTTTCTATATTATATTTAAAAAAAAGATAAAGATTATCAAATATTGAATTTAATTGAAAGTAGCTGATTAAACTATTTGATCAGTCTAATGTAACCTTGACTTTCACTTTCGTCTGCTAGGCGAGCACGTGGTTTCGTTTGACAGATTGTACTTTCTTTGTTTCGATAGGTGGCGACCCTGTTTCTCCATCATCGACCATTCTCTCAACAGTTGCATTTCCGTCAAAGATGGCAGTGTTCATAGATGTATATTAATGTTACGAAATAATTTTGGAATGTTTATTATGGCATTACAATCGTGTTTTTTATAGATTTACAAAGTATTTCGAAGTGTGTGTTTATTAACGTGATAATTAATTGATCGAATCTTTATGGATATCTGTGATCAGTTACGATATACTTTTGGTGCATCTAACTTGTTGCAACTGTGTTGTAACCTTCCCACGTGCACATTTTAAATATATTTTGTTTTTCTTTTTTGATAAATAAATTAATACGATGGCAGACACATTACATAAAGATGGATATGAGATATGTGAGTGAAGAATTGAATTTTATATTTTTAGCTTTAATTTTAGCTATAATTTTATGTTTTTATGATCTTATCTCTCTTCCTTATATTGTAATTTGTTTATGTATTTCATGTTTTATAATTTGAAATGAAAATAACTCATTTTTATTATTTGTATCGTATATAAAATATTAGATTGCAAATTATATTTTATGTATTTTATAAAAATAGCAAATTTAGCAATGCGTAGTGGAGGTGGTAATATAGGAGGAGATAATGATATGAAGCTTGAACCATCTAGTCCAACAGAAAAATATACATTTTCTCGCTGTAGTAGTACTGGTTCAGTAAATACACCATCTTCATCTGCTCATAATACCGGTAAGAAATTTTAACAAATAAATTTTATAATTATATTAAGCTTGAAATAATAATAATAATATATAATACAATAATAATAATATTTACAAATTAAATTTGTAAAATTAATTATAGAGGACGAAGATAGTGATAATAAAAATTCAACTATAAGTTATAAAGAACGTAGAAGAGAGGCTCATACTCAAGCAGAACAAAAACGAAGGGATGCTATCAAAAAGGGATACGATTCTTTACAAGATTTGGTTCCCACTTGTCAACATACTGACTCTTCAGGTTATAAACTTTCCAAGGCTACTGTACTTCAAAAATCTATTGATTATATTCAATTTTTATTGCAACAAAAGAAAAAACAAGAAGAAGAACGTAATGCATTAAGAAAAGAAGTTGTTGCTTTACGTATTATGCAAGCTAATTATGAGCAGATTGTGAAAGCTCATCAAACTCAACCAGGACATGCAGAAATGCGTGTATCTGATGAAACCAAATTTCAAGTGGTAAGATAAAGTGTGTTGTAAAAATTAATATTTAAAATTAAAATAATGAATTTTGAAAATATTTAGTAAAATATCTATTATTATAGTTTCAGACAATTATGGATCGTTTATTCCAAACATTCAATAATATTTCAGTAGCAAATTTTGCAGAATTATCAGGATGTGTGTTTAGTTGGTTGGAAGAACATTGTAAACCTCAAGTAACTAAATTATTTTTTAAAGTATATCTTCAAAATCAAATATAGAATTAAATAAATATATTTTAAATATTGCAGACTTTACGTGAAGTAGTATTGTCAGTACTGCAGCAACTTAATAGCCAAATCAGCTAGTCGAATATATTATTAGACTATTGTGATTGCACAATATTACATTTATGAAATCTATTCGCGGGTACTTAGACCAATTATTAAGTAGAGTTACCAAAAAGGATGGGAGTATGTGTATTATATGCAACATGGGTGACATAATGATTGTACAAGAAATATAAATAGAAATTTATTTTATATACTAATGTTATACAGCCATATAATATGGCGTGTCGTTTTTTGATGACCAAACAATGTTAAATATTTTTAACAGAGATTTTTTATTATATGAAATTTACTGCATATATATAATATACAATGTATGTATATACATATATGAATGTATTTGAATATGTACATAATACATTAATTCGTAACATAGTAATTTGAAATAAAAATCAAATTATGTCTGTTTATACTTTATATTTACAATCATTAATAATGAAAGACTTTAAAGAAAGTTTCTTAGCTCATATTTAATTAATTCCTATTACCATATCATGTTCAAAATTTTTAATCTTTGATATCAATTTCATTTTATTTTTTATTTATTAAACTTTCTCAGATTCAGTAGGCATACTTTCTCCTTGTGTAATATCGTTTAAAAGTATTGCGTCCAATCTGGGTCTATTAGGATCATCAGGCTCATGATGAGGACTTTGAGGTCGTCTTCTTTTTGATCTATCCTCTGGTCTACAACACAGATCACGAAAGATACAGGCATAGCAGGCCAGTAATGCGCTCATCATTATTATTCCACCAATTGCAAGGAACACCACTAAAAATATCGATATTTCGTCCCCCATATTATATTTTTGATGGTTTTGTTTATTAATGTTCACATCATCTGTAACAAAAATTTATTCAAATCAAATTTTTAATTTTTATGAAAGAAGAAACTTAATTTATATAATAAATTAAATTAATTTAAATTTATATAATTATTATAATAATATATATATAAAAATTATAATAATATTATTAATAATTATTTAAAAAAACATACATATGTAAATTTAAAATTTATTTATACTTATTTTTTATTTTACTTATTATTTAATTTTTAATTTATATGTATATTTGAATGAATAAGTTAAAATTTTAATAATTTAAATTATTATTAAAAATTACTAATTTTCAATGAAAACAAAAACTTAAATTTTAAACATATTTTTTAGAGAAAATATACATTTGAGTAGAATAAAAAATTATTTTTCATTCTTTAATAATTTTTATCATTTTTTAATTTAGAATTTAATTTTTTCAGAAAAAATTGAAATTTCAAAGAGTATATTATTTTGTATACAGTTAATAATAATTAGTGATGTATTTCTTAATTATTTATTTTATATCTTCTTTAATTATTAATTTAAGATTTATTTAAAAAAACAGAGTTCAAATTTTTGAACTCTTAAGTTTTGAATTATAAGAAAAAAAATTTTATTCTCATTCTATTCTTTTTTATCAGAAAAAAAATAAAGTAATGAATAGTTATAAATACGAAATTGATGTAGAAGTAGTTTTATTCTCATTTTAAAAAGCTCTATTATTCTTAAAACGTTTTTAGACACGAAAGAAAAGGATCAATTCACTCTTTCTTTAATCCAATTTATTCTTGGTAGTCACGTATATGTGAAAAATCGATTTGTCTAAAGTGTTGTATATCAAATGCAATTTAGAGGATGAAATTTCTTGATCTAAGTGTCTTTCTTATGAAACAATATCGATAAAATCAAGAAAAGACGATAGGTATATATTATGTTTTAAAAATATATAATATATTTTTATAATTAATAATTATATTTTCATTTTTTCCAAAATAACGATTTTATAACAAAACTTTTATTAATATTAATTTTCAATACTATTGTTAAAAATTTGCTATTTTAAAAGATATAGTAATAAATTTATATAATAGAATTTTTAATATTGTAATGTTAATTTTAAAGTTTTTTAATCAATTTTTCTCTATAGAAACTTTCTTAGTTATTGGGTTGAAGCAAAATTATTTTTTTTATTTAAAAATTGGTTTTTCATTTTAAAATAACAAATAATTTTTAATGAATTATATATCATTCTTTATGATAAATTAACTTTTATAAGAGTGATATTTTATGTTTACAAAATTCTATTTTTGTTTAAATATAGAAATTCATGTAGATTGAATAATTATAACACTTGCATATATAATATTTCTATATTCAGGATACATTAGATATATTACGATAAATTAATTTAATTTTTCTCTCACAAAGTCAATAATATTATAATTAATATTATAATATTATAATATTAATATCATAATATTAAAAATACTAAAATATTTTATTTAAATTTGATTAATAAAATAGAATTTTCAAATAATACTTAATATTTGTTTATGGGAATATTTTAATTCTTAGTATTTTATCTTAAAGTATTACAAATTTTGTATAGATTTTGATTAAAATAAATATAAAGAACAAACATAAACTTCTATAATAAAATAGGCGTGATCTATTTTTCTTAAAAAAAAATGATATAAATCATTTATGAATAATATAAAAAAAAATAAAAATAAAAATAAAAAAGTTCAATACAAAAGCAAAACTATTGTTCTCTGAGAAATTGTGTGTTGAAATAAAAATTAATTATTTAATTGTTATAAGACATTAATATTGGTGATAAAATATTTTAGTATTTTTAATATTATGATATTAATATTATAATATTATAATATTAATTATAAAATGTTTATGTTTGTTCTTTATATTTATTTTAATCAAAATCTATACAAAATTTGTAATACTTTAAGATAAAATACTAAGAACTAAAATATTCCCATAAACAAATATTAAGTATTATTTGAGAATTCTATTTTATTTAATCAAATTTAAAAATACTATAATCGAATATAATTTAAAAATATTTTGATTTTATACTTTTATATACTTCATTTTATATTAGATCAAATACTATTTATAGTTCGAAAATAAAAAATAATGAATCAAAAATAGTATAGAAGATAGAAATTTCAATAGATATTAAAAATGTTTAGTTCGTATATAAATTATATGTAATAATGTAACTTCAATATCGTATTATAAAATATTAAAAAATATTTATTTCAAATACTATTAAAATATAAAATTTCAAATACTATTAAAATATTTGAAATATCTATTTTTTTAACTTTTAAAATAAAATATTTAGTCAGTCTTTATGAATTATTTTTATTATTATATGAGTTGATAATATTAAAATATATAATATATATTTTAAATATTATGTTCCTATATAAATGTTATTTTAAAAAATAATTTATTTGTAAAATCATACACATATTCAAAGAATAAAAATTTTTATTTCTATTTATTTATTTCAAATTTTTTTATTAAGCTTGATCTTTTGATTGAATTTTAAATCAAATAAAAATTTCTTAAATATCTATAATATTAAAAATGAAATATTTTACATTCATTTTTATAGTCTAAATGTTAATCATAATTTTCTTCATATCTGTTACTTCGAAGTTTCACCGTGAAACTTAATTTTATATCGTTTTAAAGTTTTTGTACTTTCCACCGACTTTTCTACAAAATTTCTTAATTTAATACCGAAGAAAACTTTAAAACTTCGTATAAACTTTAGTACGAGCAGCTAATACATCACTCAAAATAACTGAAACATAATGTTTTAATATTCATTACAAAATTGATTGTTTAGTAGAATTTATTTAGGAGAAAATTACGCATTTTATTTATTATAATATTTTTAAATTTATGTATTTTTAAATAAAAATTTAATCACTTAGTGCTACGTTATCAATCGAATCTTTCCATTTGAAAACTGGAAAATGTGAAATAATTTAAGAGTAAAAATTAAAAGTTGAAGTATTTTCATAAGTGAATAGTATTTAGAAATATCATATCATTTCTCAATTTAAATCAAATAATATGAAAATTATTCATTTCATATAATAATATGAAAAATTCATTTTATAATTAAATCAAATTTGAAAGCACTATCATTTTAATAAATAAAGATATTTATCTATTTCATTTCTCAATCTTATTGCAATCTAATTTCAATTTTCGTTAATTAATTTTGTATAGGATTTAATTGAAAATCAAAGAGGTAATATTAATTGAAGGATTTTTGCGAATAAACTTTACTAAAATAGTATTTAAATTAAAAAAAATAGTATATTTTGAAGATATATTTATATATATTTGAATATATAGCTATTTATACAAATAATATTTTGAATAAATATCTTATATTTTAACATAGAAAATAATATTGTAAATATTATAAATTATTAATAATATTATGTAAATCTTCCTTTTTTTTTATTATATAGAAATTTTATTTTATATTCTAGAAAATATTTTTTTAAAAATTTATTATTTTTTAAAAATTTCAATTAATAATATCGATAATTTCTTATATGTATATCAAAATATAAAATATATAATTCCTTATAAAATTATATTCCATCTTTATGAAAAAATTTTATAAAACTTATATTAAGATTCTAAATATAACAATAATATTATCTAATATATAGAATTTATTTGTATATTAATTTCAAAAATTTTGATCATGTAACAAATATGCAATCTTTATTATTGCCTTATCTAAAAATTACTTTACATTTTACATACTATATGTTCTCTATTATGCAAGTATAATATAAAGCATAATATAAACAAATATCTTTTTTTACCATAGCAGTGAAAAATGACAATTTAATTTGAAATTAATGACAATTAATGAATTAATGACAACATTTGACAATGTTTATACAATACACGTATAATATGATAAGATTAAAATATAAATAGTATTAATTATTAAAACAAAATCAAAAATATTTAAAATATTTAAATTAGTAGGCGATGTCATAAAATTGGCAAATATATAATATAATATTGAGAAATTCATTATCTCTAACATGAAAGAAACAAGAGAGAAAATTGAAAATTATTTACGAAATGTATATCAGAAAATAGAATAAGATTAAAGTTGCCGAAAAAAGAAAATATAAACATTATTGTGCCATCACAGTAGAGAGATTTTAATTGTAAATTGAATAAATAGAGAAATCTTAATTTTGTTGTATATTGAAATCTAATAATAGGAAGACATGATTGTTTGGAATTTTCGCATAGAAGAACTATAATAAATATTCTTTTAACTATTTCATTTTTTCTTTACTATTAAATCATATAAACTTTCTAATGTATTGAATATTAATTATAATATTTGTTTCTCAAAACATCTTAATACTTTCTCTAATAAAAATTTTAAAATATAAATATCTTCATAATTTATTTTTTTTCATTGCAATCTTTTTATTCAATACGACAATTTAAATTAGTATTAATATAGTGAAATAAAAATATAATGCTTGAATAATAAAATATTAGAATAATGAAAAGTCTATATTAGAATGTTCGGATAATAAAAGTTTCATCTAAATAAATATATTATTTTTTTAAAATATAATTTTTTTTAAAAAACTCTATTTTATTATTAAAAATCTCTTCTCTAAACTTATTATCTCTATTAGTTCTGATAACGAAGATGCACTTCGAGTGTAAAAGATTAAAATTCTAAGATAAAGAAAACGTAGATCTGAATTGATGTAAATTGTAATTGGAAGACTCAGTTACTCAAGAAAAAGTATTTAATTTTCTCATCATGTTAGAAAGTATATTTAATAAGACAATTATTTTGAAATTTCTGTTATTATGAATATGATTATGCCGGAAATTAATTGTTTGTATTCAACAATATATGGATTCAATACACTTTTGTCGATAATGGTTAATATAATCTTCAATGAAAATCGTTTTGGTCTCT